AAAAAAAAAAGAAGAGCCAACATGCAAAATAGCAGCACCCTGACTCTGTTTGACCTGAATGGAGCCGTACCTTCATTAGTATCCCCTGTGTTTACCCTACTATTTCTTTTCAAAATGGCTGCTGTGAAAAGAGTCTATTTAAAAGCATGTGAAATTTGCCAGACCTTTGTTGTATTTGTTTGTTTAAAAATGTCCATGTAACACAAAATGTAACATAAACATTTTTTTGTTGGACATAAGGTGGATATAAAATTCACTCCATGACTCAGATTAAGTTCCCTCTCTGCACATGTGCTGCAATGGGCAGAAAAGAGTGACTTTGAGCTGCAGGCAATTGGGTTGAGTGTCCTTGTGAGTTTTTGTTTATGAGCATAAGAGTGAATAAGGACTGAGATATCAGGAGGAGACAAAGAGGTTGTGGAGGGAGGCACTGGACTTTGTGAGAAAGCCATCAAAATGGAAAGGGGTGTGGGGTGAGGTGATGACTGTATCAGGGGTGATGGTGCCAAATGAGACTTCTTTTTTCTTATCACAAGTGGACATACCCTGTCTACCGTGAAGGTCCATGTGATCCTGGTCAACAGCACAGACCACACACCGCAGTTTTGGAGGCATACATGTGGGACCAAATCTCCTGACCTACCACAAAATGAAGCCATTGTGTTACAACAAGTCCCCCTATTCAGCAGCTATCATCAAGATAATCTAACCAGCATAACCAAACACATTCTGATTCATCACAAGATGCCCATAAACCACACCAGTGACACAAGCCAGGACCAGGCAGAGTTTAATTAAAATAGGACACATGGCACATACATTAAATAATAATGAACCTGTGAACCTATACCTAGAGTGAAATATGAAAACTGTTTTTCTGATGAAAATAGTATTTGATCACGATCCTGCTTGCCTAAAAGGAGGGCACGTCATCTCCCATCATCTGAAGAAGTCTTTCTCCTCATAGCACTTACTCTAGAGCCTCCCAAGAGTGACAGAGGGCAAGCCATTAAAGGCCTGTTGAAACACTACAGATACTGTCAGAAGGAGACAGGAGACCTGGAAAGAAACAAGTTAGACAGGCTCCACCAAAGGCTGTGACACTCACACACTCACTGCTCCTGTCCATACTGAGTGTGTGATGGTGCCAGATCAGTCTAATTTAAATATAAAAATTTCATGGGACATTCTTAGGGGAGACGCAAGGTTGGAGGCTACATGTCAATGTTTTTTGTATAGAGACAGAAGAAAGAGTACGTAGAGTTTGTACGTGTAAGGCAATCGGTCTCCACAAGCTACCAGAACAGCTTGAGTTTCAGGTCTGTGATCCTTCGTACCCTGTATTAAAGCATCTGTTTTGGAGTTTTTCCCCAAGTGGCACCCTGAAATTGGCATTTGTGGTTTTGTCTGAAATTTCTCCACAATTATTTTTAATATTGCCATGAAATTTGGGCCACACATTTATGTTCCACTGCAGGATGAAGTGTAATCTCTTTGGTGCCTGAGCCTTAACTTTCTATCATCGATCCAACATTTTAACTTGTGCAATACTATGACCAAATGTCTGCTAAACTAATGACATTCCCATCAGCTTCAGCTGTACTTTGTGTTTAGTTAGCATGCTATTACATTAAAACTGGATGGTGAACATTATACTTGCTAAATATCAGCATGTTGGTGTTGTTGTGAGCATGTTAGAATGCTTCCAGTGGCATTTTGCTCACAGCATTGCTCACAGAGCTGCTAGCATGGCTAGAGACAGTCTAATTTAACCGGCAAACCAAAAATATTTTCTGCCAAACACTCACCAATGAAAAAAGTCAAAACCAATTCTTGTAAAAATATCCAATCTCCCTCCCGTGTGTTCTATCACCCTGCTGAATGAGCATCATGCAGGGTCTTCATGGGATCATATTAAGGCAGCAAAGGATGGGAAACCAGCTAAGGAGAGGTGGTGGACACTGTGATGATTGGCACAGCACAGTGCAGTCTCTGGATCCAAATGAGATTTTAAAAAAAACCTTCCAACCACACACACGTTAATCACAGGGCACAGTTTAGGTTTAGTTTCGTTTTGCTTCAAAAAATCAGGACAGACAGGACTGCGCATGGGCACCTTTGTGTGTAAAATCCACAATTTATGTAATGAGTGGGGAGTCAGTTTGTATGTATTTGCTTTCTGAGTCCCCCAGTTTTCTGTGATGATGCTTATTTGTAGAAAATACGAGGAGGGGGGGAGTAGAGGGAGAGGTGGTGATGCTCCACTGGCTGATGTACAGTGACAGACTGTCTGCAGTAAGAGGGGAATGTTGCATGTTAGGCAGGTCAGCAGATGTTGGGCTGACAGTCAATAAAATATTCAAGTCAAGACATTGCTATCATGCATCTGATGTCTGTAATGTCTCAGAAACAGACGATGGGCGAGGACAAGAAATGTGTTCTTGAAGTACAGTGTATGTCACAGGGACATCACATGAAACAATGACCAAAGATGTTTTTCATTTACAGTATGTGAGTCAAGTTTTCAAGTACATCTAAATGCAGGGAGGGGAAGGGTGATGTACACTCTCATTAGCTGGCCTCA